CAACCACTATGGAAAGCAGTATGGAGATTTCTCAGAAAACTTGGAATGCCACCACCATTTGACCCACCTATCCCATTCCTCGGTTTATACCCAAAGGACTTAAAAATCAGCATACTACAGTGATGCAGCCATGTCAATGTTTATAGCACCTCAATTCAAAATAGCTAAACTATGGAACCAACCTAAGTGTCCTACAGCAGATAAATGGATAAAGAAACTATGATATATATTTTTTTCAATGGAATATTACTCAGCTTTAAAGAAGAATGAAATTATGGATGAAGTTGGGGAATATCATGCTAAGCAAAATAAGCCAATCTCAAAAAAACAAAGGCCAAATGTTTTCTCTGATATGCAGATGCTAACTCACAATAAGGGGAGGTGGCACTAGGGAAGAATAGAGTTACCTTAGATTAGGTAGAAGGGAGTGAGGGGAGGGAGGATATGGGGATAGGAAGGATAGTAGAATGAAACAGACATTATTACCTTATATAATGCATGACCAATGTGATTCTCCAACATGTACAATAAGAAAAATGAGAAATTATACCCCATCCATATATGGTACATCAAAGTGCATAAATGCATTCTACTGTCATGTTTAACTAAATAAAATAAATTTTAAATTTTTTTCAAAAGAGAAATGTCTACTTTCTGTAAGAAGTTAATTGATCAAGAGATGTCCTTGGAAACAGCACCTGTGTTTCATTTCCCCAGGACATAGCAGAGGGGCTTATTGTGACTTCCTGCCTGGAGACCCTCACTTCTCCACCTATTTCTGGAAAACACCAGGAGCAGGGTTGGACTGGGAACCTCAGATGTAGTCATGAACTAACCCTTTCCTGACTGGTTGCTGCCTTCAGAAACATCCTCTCCTGCCTGGGTTTTCCAGCTTCTCACTACCACCTCCAGGTTATGCCCTGAGACCACCTCCAGGGTACGCCCTGAGACCACCTCCTGAGACCACCTCCTGCTGGTCTCTGCTGCCTCTAAATACGAAGAAGCTACTCTGTAGTTTATCAGTCAGTTCCCCCAAAGCACTGAGGCCAAGCTATTTTCTGCATTGAAATAGAGAGAAGCCCCCTTTCCCTCTGTGTCACTTGTCACCAATGTAGGGCTTCCTGAGCCCCATTGATTTGAGATTCTGGTAATAGTTCTGTCAGCACCAGCCTTGTAGCACCTCTCCTGCTTGAGCTTAGGCAACCACATAATGCCACTCCAGGACCAATGTTAAGAGACAGACTCTTGTTTTCCTAATCTCCCTTCCTATGGATTCCACACTCGAGTTGTACAATTACAGGGTATTTTTCTACTAAGAGAATGTGAACAATAAATGTGACTTTAGAAACACATATCAAATAATGGTAGACAACATCAGAATTATTGCTAATGCAAACAGAATCACTAATGGTGACCTGAGTGGGAAATCAGAGCTGTGAATCCCTAGCCCACTTGTTCAGTGTAGTTAGGCAACATTGTTTAATTGGATTCTTCCTTCCACTGTTCTAAAGCTCTTGACTTAACCAAGTGGCTCTTAACCCAAAGATGCTGTCAGTTTTGAGAGTGGAAGAACTGGCATACCCCGAGAAGAACTGACGACTCTGCCCTCTCTACCTCCTCCAGGCAGATGAGGGTCCTGACAGGGAGCAGGGGAAAGATGTGAGAGAGGAAGAGGAGGAGTGGAGGCCATTCACTGATCTGCAGTGGGTGGAGAAGGAACAATGGAGATCAATGTGCATTTGGAGGAAATTGCACGTTTGCCCAAAAGCAGTGAGAAAAAGTAATGCTAAAAACACACTAGTGGTGGTGCTGATGCTGGGAGTTGGTAGAGATGGGACCAGGAGCTGAAGAGGAGAGACCACAGAGTTTATTGTCCATGGCTTTGCAGCCAGTGGGGTTCCAACTTTCCCGCAAGGCTGTATATCTCCCATGGTAGGCAGCAAATTGGGGCAGGGCCTTAGGACTAGTGTCTGCTGTTAACAGGAGGGGATTAAGAAAATCCAAAGGGAAGAGAGGATCAAAATTGTAGTAAGGGGGTGTTTCACTGCATGCATTTGACTTTAGGCAAAGCCTCTTGTCACAAAGAGATTGCTCAGGCAGCTAAGAGCCTCAGCCCAATCTGAAAGACTCTCCAAGGGAGAATGTGTATTTGTGAGTTCCAGGAACCTGTGCAGGAGGCTTGTTGGTAAGTCATGAAGTATGTATGTACATGCACAAGCTAAACAGGTGGGTGGAGGTTACAGAGGGTGGCAGGTAGACAGGAGCTTTGAGGGACTCTGGAGTCACCCAGGCAGAGCTGGCAGGTTGGCAGTTGGGTTCCTGAGGCCTTGGCAGCAGGCAGGTTGGGAAGACATAGCTTCTCTATAGTAATAAAAGCAGAAACAAAGGGAGAGGCAAGCCTGGGACCACACTGAGAGCACAAAGACAAAGGACTCCTGCCACACCCACCTCCACTGCACTCAGGACTTCAACCTGCTCTCCCCACCCCAGGGCGGGCATTCTTCTCGGTGACTAAACATAAACTCCTCTGCAGCCTTCAGGCAGAGTAACCCTCCCTGCCCAGAGACAGGATGAGGTAGGCAAAAGGGCTGCCCAAGGGTCCTGACTCTACTTTTTTAGAATGAAAAAATTCTTAGAATTTTTAGAATGAAAAATGGGGTTCAGTTGCTTTACACTGCATTGGGGAGTGTGTATGTCCCGGGAACAGTAGATTCAGGGTAAGGGTGGGACTAAGTAAAACCAGGCATCTAAAGCAGCCCTGGCCCACGTTTCCTTGAGCCTGCTGCGTCCTAATGAGTCTGTAGAACGGGAGGCCTTAAGTGACTTTCCAGTACCTCTTGGTCAAGGCAGAGGAGCGAGTGCCCTTCTTGGGGTGAAGGATCTCACCTTTAGCAGCTCACACACAACATCCTCTGGGGGAAGAATTTGTTCCTTCAGTTTCTTATAACCAGGGTGTGACCCATGGCCAGGGGGCTGAGGAATTGTCCACAGTTCTGTGGAGTAAATGTACTTCCTAAAAGCAAAGGTGTAAAGCAGCAAAGACCTGCTGGAAGACACATGGGGGCCCCAGCAAGGGGCAGGGTCAGGACCTGAACACTGACCAACATCTGAAAGAATGCTTCTTCCAGAGGAAAGGTCACATAGGGAGAGAGCGAGACCACCTGGGTCCACTGTTCTCTCTTGGCCCATGCTGCCCTCACCTTCACAGCAGAGCCTATGGTTCCAAGTTGGAAGAAAGGAGCAGATAGATAATCAACAGCAAAACTGTTCACTGGCAACAGGAGGCAATGGCACAGTCCCCAGAGAAGTGGAAAGAATAATACTCAAAGAAGGAGAGGGTATCTCACTTTCACATAGAGCTCAGCTTGCTTCCACAGTGAAGTTTCCAGAAAGCTCAGGACTAAGAACTTAGAGCCAGCATCCAAAAGATAACAGGACTGAGAGTGCAGAGTGGTCCACATCTCCTCTGAGGGCACCTTCCTCCCCATTTTGGTGCTTCCCAAGTCCTAACCCCAGCCCAATACTTTTTTGACTTTTGAGCATAATCTCTTTCTCATTAATTACCACATGAACACAGGTATTACTCTAGGTCCTCTCACTTCAGGCCCAGAGATATAATGCACAACCTCACCTGGATGTCCATTAGGCACATGTCAAAATGTCCCAGTAACTTAGGATATCTTCCCTCCTGCACTACCTGCATCTGCTCCTCATGTCCCTACTGAATGAAAACACAGTCTAAGGCATTCCAACTTTCCCCTGCTCTCCTCAAGTCCACCCTGAAGCCCTAAAATGCATCCCCTCAACTTCAGGGTAACTACTATTGTGGCCTAATCCTTGCCTTCTGAGATACTGCCATGGCACCCCGCGGCGACTCTAAGTGCAGCATACCCAAGTTCTAGTCAGCTGTTGGATTTTGACAATGCATATCTGAACATGTCACCTGGTATCCAAGCTCCACTCATACATGATGTCCTTTGTGACCTTGCCCCACCACTCCCCCACCCACTTTATACCCCAGTAGTACTAAGAAGTTTATGGTCACTTACCTGTTTCCTGAATCACTATTACACAACACAGTGATTCCACTTGTATTGGAATAGCAATTCCAGAGCAAGGAACTCCTTTCTCTCCACTGTGACACTTCCTTTCAGCCTCTATTGGTGCTCTTCATATTGTTAATTTATTGCAATTTACTGACATCTACTGGTTTCAATCCAGGGCCCATTCTATAACCCCTCCCCTCAAAGATAAGGTGAAGGAAAGGGAACCAGGGAGGGGATGGTTCACATAGAGCTTAGCTTGCTTCCACAGTGAAGTTTCCAGAAACTTCAAGGGGATGAATGGTATTCCAATATCATAGGCAGATGTCAGGAGAAGGACTGCCTTTTAAAATCCTATGGAAACCAAAGTCCTTGGTCAACACTTTAAAACCCTTCTAAGAGGAAACTCTTGGTGCCTATGTGATAAAAATGAGAAAATCCTGTGTGAACTTCTCAGCCTGTGTGAGACTGACCTGCATGGATAAGCACGGGATAGCAGGGCTCAGGATAAATTGGGTCTGTGAACCTAGAACATGGAACTGCATTCAAAGTCCACTCAGTACAAAAATCAACTTCTTCCACATCAGTCTTGACAGAGGAATAAAGCTTCTGCCACACCAAAAATTAAAGGGCTCTCAGCAGGCAAAACACAGGGGTGAGTGCTGGAGGGAGCTTTCTAGGTTCCAGGAGATTTAACCTATATAATAAGAAGCGAGACTGACCCAAAAAAAGGAGACTTAAACTCTACTTCGTCAATCAGTGTGTAACTAAAGTGTCCCTCGTTGGAAGCACTATCTCACTGGAAGAAGCATCACTTTGGCTTCATATTTTCCCCATCTCAACCCACCCACCTCTCTCACCCTGTGACTATAAAGATGGAAACTCCCATCAAGTGCTTTGACAATAGTTCAGCCACTCAAAACACTTTTCCATTATGAACATTCAGGTCCACTCATCTTTAGGAATTCTCAGCTTTTTTATTTGTTAAAAGGTAAATTCATTAAGTAATCATCACATTTTGAGATCCTGACATCTGTGTTAGCTGCCCTACTAGAAAAGGAAACTCAGTGGAGCACTGGGAAGCACTTCAGATTCTGGGGATACATCTGGCTGAATCCTCCCTCTCTCACTTTCAGATGTGTGACCAATGCAAGTTACTAACTTTCCCAGGCCTCCGTTTTCTCTTCTGGGAAATGAGGAGAAAATCAGTTGCTATCTCCTGGAGCTGAAGTGAGGACTAAATGAGATGATGTCCACAAAGTACCTAGCATAGAGCCTGCCACAAAGCAAATGCTCAGTAAATACTGGCTATTTATGCTATCATACAAAATAAGGATTTTTTAATGATGTTATTGTTGTTCCTACTCCATTGGGTTCACAGTGGACTACTCTACGTCACTGATTCTTAGTTATGCTCCTCTGTCACCAGTCTCAAGGTTTTCCCATAAGGACGTGCCCCAAATGCAAACTGCCACATATGAGAAGCTTCTCTGATGGGGTGTGTATACGTGGACAGTGTGAAGGCCTCTGAGCGAATGACGCGCTGTCAGGGCCACTGATGTAACTCTAATCCCCTAAGTTACCATTCTGGCTCATATATTGATAAAGCTCTTACAAAACAAATATAAGGATAGCCTGAGGATCGTGTAGGTTTTAACAGGAGAAAAACAAATTACTTTGAGAAACAAAGTGCCTTCAATTCTGGATCCTTAGTATTAGTAATTCATCTCTGAATTACCTGGATTTTTACCAAGATTACTCCCTGGGTATACCCCAGGCTTAAAAATTACAAGGTTTCTCTCTAGTGTGCATCTCAGGATCTTGGGATTTGGATATACACGTATCCACTGGGGAGAGGTCTCCTAAGATGCTTTCCCTCCGGCGTGTGTTCTCCGGTGGGCGCTGAAGTGGGAGCTATTGTTGAAGTCTTTGCCACACTCCATGCACTTGTAGGGCTTCTCCCCAGTGTGGATTCTCTGGTGAATGATAAGACTGGAGCTCTGGTTGAAGCATTTCCCACACTCTCTGCACTTGTATGGCTTCTCTCCTGTGTGAATCCTCTGGTGAGTGATGAGGTTGGAACGGTCCCGGAAGAACTTTCCACACTCGAGGCATTTGTAGGGCTTCTCTCCGGTGTGCACCCTCTGGTGTGTGATGAGCTTGGAGCGCTCGCTGAAGCACTTCCCACAGTCCGCACACCTGTATGGCTTCTCCCCCGTGTGGGTTCGCTGGTGGTTGGCCAGGGTGGAGCTCTTGCTGAAGCTCTTTCCACAGTCGGCACACTCGTAGGGCTTCTCTCCCGTGTGGATTCTTTGGTGACTAATGAGGGCGGAGCTCTTGGAGAAGCGCCTCCCACATTCTGAGCACTGATACAGTTTCTCCCCAGGGTTGGCAGCGAGCGGCCCAGGAGAGCTCAAGCTGATACTGACGCTGTGAGGCTGTTCCGAGGTCTCCTCTGTGGAATCCTTCCAGGTAGCACCCCGAGACGGGCTCTGGCCGAGGCTCTCCCCAGGCTCACTACTCTGGTTAGGACTTCCTCCCAAATCAGGACTTCCTCCCAAGTGGATTCTCTGATGCTTCAAAAGGTTTGAGCTCTGGTTGAAGCTTTTCCAACATTCTCCACATTTATAGGGCTTTTCCCCGGTGTGGATTCTCTGGTGGGTGACAAGATTAGAGTGGTCACTAAAGCTTTTCCCACATTCAAGGCATTTGTAGGGCTTCTCTCCAGTGTGGATTCTCTGATGGGTACTGAGGTTGGAGCGGTCACTAAAGCTTTTTCCACATTCCAGGCATTTGTAGGGCTTCTCCCCTGTGTGGGTCCGCTGGTGGGCGATGAAGTGGGAGCTCCTACTGAAGCTTTTCACACATGTATCACACTTGTAGGGTTTCTCCGCGAGGTACAAGCCCTGATGGTCAATGAGTTTTTCCAAGTCCTCCTCAGAGGAACTCTCTTCCCACTGTTCCTGTGGAGGATCTCCCCACACCCCTTCACCTTCGTTTTCATTGTCACTGTCTTCTTCCCAGTCATGAGGGTGGCAAACAGCCTCAGTGCTACACTTTGATAAGGTTCCAGGCAAATGCTCAAAAATGTCCTGCTCTGAAATTTGGTCTTCATCCTCATGCCTCAACTCAAAGCCTGAAAGAATGGACAGAAATGGAGGTTCTGTTAATTCATTAGTTAGCATTTATTTTTGTATCCGTGTCATGTGAATTGTGAATGTGGCTACCATGAATTTGTATCTTATGTCTCACCTAGTGGAAATGTGACTAACATGAAATCATCAAGTTTTTGTGCATGCATGTGTTTCTAAAACTTCTCTCTTTTTTAAAAATATTTTTAGTTGCAGACATACACAATACGTTTATTTTATTTATTTATTTTTATGTGGTTTACCTAGGCAAACGCTCTACCGCTGAGCTGCAACCCCAGCCCTGCAAGTGTTTCTAATCCTGCAAAACTGATGAACACAGTCTGGGACTTGGTAACCCCACCAAGAGAACCATAAGGCCCAGCCCAGCTGCTGGCCAGTCAGCTTCCCTGCCAGCTCCCGGATCTCAATACTCCACAATGAACACTTGCCTCCTCCTAGTACACTCAGTGGATCCTCATGTCATACAAGATTGAATCAATTCTGTAACTGGCCAGATGTATAAGTAAGACTAACCACCTCCTTTGGGGGTTCACACTAAACCACAGACAATAATCAGAGCAAAGCACAAATTCTTTTCTTATTCAATCCCATTCTTTTTAGCTTAGAAACAAAAGAGATATCAAGCCTGGCCCCCCACTTTCCACATGCCTACGGACTTTGTAGATATCCAGTGCCTCCCAGCTTACCTGTGTCTGGAGTTTTAGGATGTGGGGTTGGTGGTTTGATGACAGCTTCATCTGCTATCTCATCCCAGTCCTCCTGGTCATCAACCTTAGTACTTCTCTGCCCAGACCTGGGGAGACCTGTGGCCTCCCCAACAGTCTCCATGGCCCTGACTGAAGTCCGAGCCCTCATCAGGGAGTCCAGTTCCTCATAGAAGGGGCACTTCCCTGGTGGGTGGCTGCTCTTTGCTTTCCGATAGCTTCTAAGGAGGTTTTTGAATCTGTAGCGACACTGCTCCAGTGTCCGCAGGAAGCCCAGTGCACATAGCCGCTCTGCAATGGCCCGATACACCTGGCTGTTCTGGTGACAGGTGCGAAGCTTTTCAGAGAATGGGGACTCACTGAGAATTGCCAGGAAGGCCTTGGTCTCCTCATAGCCCCAGTGCACACCTGCTGTCAGGAGAGAAGAGTTCAGAGGCATTAGATTTAAGGAGATTGCCTAGGTCTTCAGAGATTGGGGTCGCCTGCCCTCTAACCACCTAGATCACCAGCATCTCAGAAACTGTTCAGATGCCCAGAAATACACCAGTGCTTCTCAGGATTATTCTGGAAAAGTTGGCCAGAATACCCTACTCCATCACTTCTAGAAGATCCTATTAACACCTTGAGACTTGCAGAAGGGGCACACTTAGATGGTCGTACTATATCAATTATCAATCCCTTGGCTTCAGCTGACTGGTACCTGGGATTCATGAGATTCTCCCCACATCCAGTCAATACATATCCGCTATTTCCTTTATGAACTCCCCTTTAACAAAGCGTTGATGCTAATAATCCCTGATCATCAGAGGTATCAGTAGATTTCAAATGATCATGCAACAGAGTCCAACTGCAGATGCCTTTTCCTCTCTTGTGGAAGAATAAAAAGGAGACAGCCTAATCTCAGCTCCTCTGCTGGTAAGTGATGTAGCCCAGGGAGGCAGCACAGGAGAAGGAAAACCATATGCAACTAGCAAGCAGGAGCCACAGGCTCTCCTCATACCTCTTCTGTGTGTCTTTAGGTAACATGCTTCATCTCTTAGGCTTCCATGTTTTCACCTTTACAATGACTGGGTGTCTGTCACACAATGACTATTCAAGCAGAGCCTGATTTCTGTTATATCTGTTTGATATTGCAACATTTTTCTTTAAAAGCCTAAATTCACTATCTGTGAAATCACAAGTTGATGTACTCACACATTAAGAGGATGTACTCACACATTATGCGTACTATTAGAATTAAAAGTCCACTAACGTGACACCAATGATCATCTCCATATTACCTGTGACACTTTGGAAAATACTGGACTCTCTCTTCAAGGTCAAGCTTTAAAAGTGTTTGCTTCTCTAAGAAAATTCTGAGCAAGAAGACCTTGTCACGGTAGAAGAGGGTGAAAGTCTGAGGGTGACCCAAGGAGCTTATACCCTAACTCTAGTGCCATCAATCCAGACTCACAGTCTGAGCCCTGACTTCAGGAGCAGCAGCCTGGCTGGTTGGCTAGTGGCAGGGTTGCAATCTACATGGTCAAATCCCCAAGTTCTTACCAATACGACTCTGGAGCAGAGCTCGGCCCCCTGGAATCCTGGGCCTCTGGACAGACCCATCAGTAGCTAGACCAGCACCATTACAATCTTCTGCTGTTTCCTCAGGCTCCCAGCCCCCTTCCTCGGGCTCATCCATCTCTGCGTCACTATCCCCCAGCCTGGGGAGTGCTACTACCTCTCCTGGGCCATTTCTGGCTCTAATGGCTGTCCGAGCCCTCACCAGGGCCTCCAGCTCCTCATAGAAGGGGCATGTTCCTGGAGGGTGGCTGCTCTTGGCTTTCCGATAATTCCGGAGCAAGTTTTTGACTCTGTAGCGACATTGTTCCAGTGTCCGCAGGAAACCCCGTGCCCTTAGCCGCTCTGCAATAGCCCGGTACACCTGGCGGTTCTGATGACAAGTCCGGAGCTTTTCAGAGAAAGGAGACTCACTCAAAATTGCCAGGAAGGTCTTGGTTTCCTCATAACCCCAGTGGACACCTGACACCTTTGTGTCCTCCACATCCCACTGGCACTGTTCTTCCCAAGCCCCTGAGTCCCTCCAGGCCGATGCCTGGGCTGGTTTTGCCTGTTCATTATCCAGGCTATAATTAGCAGTGTTCCTTTTCCCAGAACTTATAGGACTTAGACCCCAAAATTCTGGTCCTTGCTCTTGCTGGGAAGTGATACTTGCTTTTGAAACAGGAACTCCTACACAAAATGAAGAAGAGAAATGACTGAGTAGAAATGACCTGCTGAACACTGTATTTGTCCAAAATGTCCCTGAAATTTATATCCTTTCCCCTAAGAGGCTTCTAAGAGATTCCCATGCTAATCCCCTAATATGTCTGAAGGGTTGAGGAGAAGTAATAGAAATAACAAGACTCAAGCCAGAACAAAAATGCAAGTAACACGATGGCTTTGTTCATTTCCTTTTTTCTTATTATTGTTTTGAAACATATAAAAGAGTGACTATAACTGGTCTACAGATGGACACGTGGCCTAAACTGGCCTCATCAGAATGAATTCCATTGTTGGAGAAAGGATTCTATATGTATGCATGTGGTGAGTCGCTCTCTTGCTAAGAAACATGTGACTCATTCCACAAAACCTTTTTTTCTGCCATCCTCAGGATGGCAGAAAGGATGCAGGTCCATTAGGGCCATGCTGAACTAGTGTGTCCTATGGTTGGAACACTTCCTCCTCTGGACTTGTAATAATGGGAGAAAATAAATGTCCTCCTATTTCAGTTAGGTATGTTTAAAGGACTACTATTACAACAGCTCCCATCCCTGAAGTCTTTAATTAAAATAAATATTTGAAGAAAACTACATCTAAAAAGAGGCTTGAGGGCAATCTAATTCAGCATTTCCCAAAGTTGGTTCCTTTAACACACTAATTCCACCAGATATCATGTATTAAAAAAGTGGGGGCTGGGGGGGCTCCTCTGTGAAGCAAGTAGACAACAAGCTTCTAGTATCTAACTAAAGCAGACCTGTCATGGTCTGTTTCACCCAGTCAGTGTCTAAGTCCCCCCAAGTGATCCCAGGGGAAATGGCTTATTATTATTTGGTTTCTCATGCAGAAGAACTTACAGAGAAAGAAGTCTGTGTTATCACGTGAGCTTCAAGTATTCTAAGGCCTGTGATACTTTTTTCTCACTGTGGTTTAATACGGGTTTCATGGGCTTAATTCACTTGAGTCTGCCCTAAGAGGCAGATCGCATTTGGTTGGAAAAGATGAGATTTCTCAGGCAGCAGGCTAGACAGAGCTGCCACCCCATGCAGAATGTACTGAGGTGCTGGAGGTAATGAGTGCCAACAGGGAAAGCTCGGAGAAACCGCCCTGCTAGCCTCTCTCCAGGTGTACTCTCCCTGCTTTACAATGTTGACTATAAGGACCAAGTCTTCTTCCAACCTCAGAAAATCCAGAGATCACAGAGCTATGATTCTCTCTTAAAGGAGTAGCAGACAACTCTTAGGAAACTGAGTGTACCAGAAAACTGGCATCTTACACCCTGGGGCAGGGCATGTTCTTCCTTACCCAGGCACACACTCTTTCCACAGTCGTCTCCCCGGGGGTCCTTGCAGAACTTCTCAGCATGTTTGCCAGGGCCCAGGGCTTCCTGTGAGATGCATGAAAAGAAGGACCTCAAATATCACTGATCCTTTAAAATAGCCTGAGAACCCTGCCAGACCCCAGGAAAGATCAAGGAAATACAGGGCATCAGGTATGGGACTAGCATCACACGCAGCAGCAAGACCAAGGAGAGGCCCAGTACAGGGTAGAGGGCTCAAAGGCTAACACCCTGTGCCTTATCCCCTTAGCTGGGGGGAGGCCACAGACAAAAGAGGAGCAATGAAGGGTAAGAGCACAGCAGTAGCCATGGCAGGAAGGGAGAATAAAAAAAGAGCCTACCTGGGACTCAGCGGTCACTTCCCAATCTCCAACACTCCCCATCTTTGGGACAGTAGGGACTCGAGGAGTAAGGACAGCTGAGGAAAAGAAAAAGTCTTGGAAACCTAAGTTCTACTTCCCTAAAATCTACCTCCCTTCAGATCTAGTTTTCCAAAGGTCAGACATGGATCAAACTAAGGCTATTCCTGTAGCCAGTGCAGAGGTCACCTTTTACTTCCCTCCAGGGCATGCAGCTCCTCAGCTGCCTTGGGTAATGTGGCACAGGTGAGACCTAACCCTAAGCACTTGTGCTCACCACCCATCCCAGTCCAGCCTATATATGTAGTAGGCATGCTGGCACCATTCAAACACCCTCCTCTGACAGTGCCTTCTTACCTTCCATTATGTGTGTCCCATTAGGCACCATCCTACCCCCTGCCCTTAATTCTCTATGATCATCCTCCCCGAACACTACTCTCTACTGCCCAACCCAACCCTCTACCTTGAGAGAAAAGTCTTTATTCCCTGGTGTTCCCAGATTCTTGGTACTCACCATTCTCTTTCAAGGGCCGTGGTGCCATCTTGGCACTTAGATACTTGGAAAGGTCTGGGCAAGTGTTCTTCATACACTGCTTCTGGGCCTGTCCCTCAGGCCAGGGATCTGCTGGCTGTAGTTTGAGGCTCTGAGATTCTTGAACTGCCTTTGAGGACCTGGTCTCTTCTGCACAAAACTCCAGTTCCTATACACAGATAATTGAAATTCCCAATCACCAATTCAATAAGACCCATTTTGATAAGGCAGACAATGTGGCTTTGAGTATGACTGTGATCCAGGAGTTAATAGGCTTTTTAAGATTTGAAGAGGGCTTCAAATATGATGAGATGAAAGCCTTTAGATTGACTTCAATAAAAAGACCAACATTTATACCATCAAATGAGCACTGGCTTGTTCAACACTGGGTTTCCACTATTCAAAGTATTTTTGACTCAGATATAAATTACATATAATGTTTGTGACATTCAAAAAATTCATAAGCATGAAAATAGTCTTTTTTGTTTTAAAATAATTATAATTATAATGGAATTATGTGACTGAACTCAAGAACAATCCTTTTTTTTTGGTACAGGGGATTGAACTCAGGGGCACTCAACCAATAAGCCATATCCCCAACCTCATTTTGTATTTTAATTAGAGACATGGTCTCACTGAGTTGCTTAGTACCTTGCTAAGTTGCTGAGGCTAGCTTTGAACTCATGATCCTCCTGTCTCAGCCTCCCCAGCTGCTGGGATTACAGGCATATACCACTGCACCCAGCCTCAAGAACAATCTTTGTTCTCAGCCCCAGTTCCTTCAATTACTATCCCTAAGCAAAGATTTTGATGCCAGGGATGATCATTGTAGACACAGAAAAAAGTAGCCTCAAATGACAATGAGGGGGCAAAAACTCAGTCAGACCTCTTGTTTCTAGTCCAGTGATAAGAGCTGAGAAGTTGCCACTTCATCTCAACAACAGGTTATAAGCTGAACAAACTGAAAAATCAATAAGTCTTCTTAGATCCATCAGAGAAGTGAGTCACAAGGCACACCACTACCCTCAAAATTGGAGAAATTAGACAGGTGTATTCAGAGATCACAACTTACTTGAGCAGAAATCTCTGCTGGAATAGTGCCAGGCAGGAAAAACTAATCTGTAATTGATGAATTGCTGAAGGCTCAGTGTAGACAATTCTGAGAGTAAAAGCCCCAGGGCACCCGTCATGGAGGGGAGAGGACATGTGTACTTTTTATGAGTTTTACCTCCAGGAGCTGCACCAGGTCCTCACAGTGAAAGTAAAGAGAAAAATCGCCTCCAGCTTTTGGCAGAGTACAGGAAAAGAACCATTCTGACATATGCCAGCACACTCTGTTCTTCTTAACCAGGCCTGCCCTCAGGATAAACTAGTTTACCAGAGTCTAACCTAACTTACAGAAAGGAAATATCCAACTTCAGCTCCCTCTATTGTTCCACATTCGGATGAGAAACACCCGAATGAAGTCTCCTCAGGGAAAAGAACTTGAGAAGCACTAGTGAAGTTCAGAGTCCAGGGCACAGGCTTACTACAGGACTGAGACCTAATCATAGAACAACAGCATGCTTCCTGCTCTCCTGACACTTTATCACATTATGAAAGGCCTATTTACAATGGTTCCTTTTATTCAGTACCCCATGTCCCCCTTGCAACAACAAAATTACAAAGCATAAAAATCACAGTCTGAAAAGAAAATATTAAGTATCAGAACCAGTCAGATATGAATCTTTAAAATATTAACCTAACTATATCACTAATCACCTCAAATATTATTATTCTAAATGTACCAATTAAAATACAGATTGTTTCAGTGCATCAAAAAACAAGATCCAACTATATGTTGTTTACAGGATACACAGAGATAAAAAGTGAAGGGATGGAAAAAGATATACCAAGCTAACACTAATCAAATGAAAGTGAGGAAAGCTATATTAATTTCAGACATAGCAGACTTTAGAGCAAGAAAAATTACCAAGGATAAAGAGTGGCATTACAAAATGATACAAAGGTCAGTACCCTAAGAAAAAGTAACAATACTTATTGCACATAAAGATACACATATACTTAGTCCTAAATGCTCCTAACAAAGCATATGTGAGGCAAAAAACTGACAGAACTATAGGAGAAATAGATTAATCCATTACTACAGTAGGAGACTTTAAAATCCCTCCATGAAAGGAGAGAACCAGCAGGCAGAAAATTAATAAAGACAACATTGAACTAAACAGCACTACAAGGGTAGTAGGACACATGAATGGAATAAAATAGAAGAGATATAATGGACATCTTATAAAGTACTTTATCTAACATCAGCAGAATACACATTCTCCTCAAGCTCACATGAAACATTTATTCACTAGGACAGACAACAATCTGGGTCTTAAAAACACATCATAATAAGTCTAAAAAGAATGGAATCACACAACACTTATTCTCAGACCACAATGTAATTAAACTAGAAATCAGCAACAGAAAGCTGGAAAATCCCAAAATATTTGGAGATCAAACAACATATATCTAAATAATACACAGGTCAATGAAGAAATAGCAAAGAGAATCTTAAAATATTTTGAACTAAATGAAAATGAAAATATAACTTATGAAAATTTGTAGGATACATCAAAAGCAGTGCTTAGAGGGACATTTATAGCACTATATGCATATATCAGGATAAAAGAAACATCTAACATCAAAAATCTAGATTTCATTTTAGGAAACTAGAAAAAGAAAAGAATCTAAAATAAGCAGAAGAAAAGAAATACTAAAAATTAGAGCATAAATCAATGAAATTAAAGACAGGAAGAGAAAAATCCAAAAAAACAAAAGTTGGTTCTTTGAAAACATTGGTAACACCAGTTAAGTGTTTAATCAGGCTAATAAAATAAAGGCTCAAGGCACAAATTACTAATATCAGAAATGAAAGAGAGGACATCACTACAGGTGTCATGGACATTAAAAGGATAATAAGGGACAGACAACAATCATAATAAGTCTAAAAGAATGGAATTATACAACCCAATACCTTCCTTTTCTCAATCTTAGAAATAGTTCAACCTTTGATCAGCTCATAGGAGCATTAATCTGAGAACCTTCGGTCTAGTCCAACCTCTGATTTTACAGATGAAGAATCAAAAAAGACCTAGATTTAAAACAATTCTCATCTCTTGATATCAGGTTCTACATATACCAGCTCTGAAGTCCTAAAATTTCTTTTGTTTTTTCACTGCCATTTAAGATAAATAGCTATATTCTTTAAAAGAAATATGAGAAGGAAATATACTAAAACTAAGCACACTCTCATACTTAGTTCTGTAACTTTAAGATTCTCTTTGTATTTTCAATTCATTTCCTGAATTTGCTGTTGGAATCCCAAGTGCAAAGCCACAGACCTTAACTCGTTCTTCCTCTGAACTCACATCTTTCAGTATGTTATGGTTTAAATGTGAAGAAAGCCCCTGCCATTTACAAGGATATATTCTCAAACCTAGAACTTTCCCAGTGAAGTGTGGTTAGCACATCACAAGCATTTCTGACTATAACCAGTGGAAAGCAACAGGGTTGTATTTAGGTGAGTGTTCTGGATGGATGACACAGACACAGCCAGCTCAAGGACCTGTTCTACATATGCCAGCTTCAACGCAGTATCCAAAATCCATGTCATAGCAAAATTTTATTTACACACACACACACACACACACACACACACACACACACACACACATTTGTCATTGTCTATAAATTGTTGAGACTGTAATGTTAGATCCACAATACTTTCACTTTTCTTAGTGTTACCATTTAGCTATATATAAATATAGACAAATCACTTACTTCTCTTTCTGATAACCAATTTGGAAAATGAAACCTATTAGTTCCTACCTTATTAGACTGCTGGGTTGATTAGATGAGGGATACATACAAAAAGCCTAGAACAGAGTCTGATACACAATGAGCACCCACAAAATGTCATTTAATAGTTCATCTGAGCCTCACAACTGAGAGGTATTTTAATTCCCACAGACTGCAGATGAAGCAATCTGTCTGTAGTAGAAAGAAAAATGGAACTCTGGAACCCAAAGATCTGAGTGGAGGCTCTAGTGAGCCATCAGACTTTTGGGGCCTTAGTTCAAACTATAAAGTGAGAACAATAATACTATTTCTGTCTACTTACATCACTGCCCTAAGCATCCAGAGAGGTCACATATGTAAAAAGATAGTGCTAAAACATGAAACGTAACACTGCACCAACTGGGAGGCAGTTTGGAGTGGTCAGGTGTGCAGGCTTTACAGTCCGAATGTCCAAGTTCAAAATCTAGAAGCTGTATGATCCAGAACGAATTACCTATCTTTTCTCTGCCTCTGTTTCCTCACTGGTAAAATTAGAATGATAGCACCTATCTTATTAAACTGTTGACAAGACTAAGTTAGTACATGTAAAGCAATTAGAATAGCACCTGCTATATAGTAGTGATCAATAAATGTCAGTTGCTCAAGAATTATTTTTGGCAATTATTAACCTAGTCTCAGCCCCACTGCCTTGCCTAGCTGGCTTCTCAGAGAACAGACTATTTGCCTCACCTGCTGTCCTGCAGCCCGGGCCTCTCGGTGCCAATCCTCCACCAGGGCCACGGCCTCCTCCCCATTCTGAGGATGGCGTGCCTGCACCCAGGTCTGCACCTCAATGGGTAAGATAGTCAGGAACTGCTCTAGCACCAGCAGCTCCAGGATTTGCTCTTTGAGGCGGACCTCTGGCCTCAGCCAATGACAGCAGAGAGCCCACAGCTGGCTGAAGGCCTCATGGGGTCCAGCTGCATCGCTATATTGGAACTGCCTGAAGCGCTGGCGGGAGGCCTCAGGGCCAAGGTCATGGTCCTTCTCCCGATGCTTGGATTCTGATCCCCATGTGTCCTCCTCCAGTTTCACAATAAGGAGGTCTTCAGGCTCTGGACTGGGACAGGCCTGGGCCTCAGATTCCAGGGCCACAGCCATCTTCTGGCCAGGATGCCTCACGTCAAATGGGCTGCCCTTGTCCAATGACTTCCTGAATCTGGAGTATATCCTTCAAAGGTCTCCTGAGTGAAGGACTATTCCCCAAGGCTGTGAAGGTAGAAAATACAGAGAAGTGAGTGGGCGAGAGGACTCAGAAGCCTCACTTTGCTCACTTCCCCCACACATTCCACCACCTTTGCAAGGCACCTGGGCACTAAGAGACGCTCCCTTCCCACAGGCAGAAAGCGAGACCATGATCTGGCACCACGCCAGCAGCAGCACTTTGGAGGAAGACAGCACAGTGTTAAGTCCTTTGGGACATGCCTAAATGCCCCAGCCTAGCAACCCAGGCCTCCATGACCTGGCCTACCCTTCTTCCCTTCTACACATGTCCAAAGTCTAACGTTCCTTCAAGTTGGGTTCCAAATGTCACCCCCTTCATAAGGCCTTTCATTCTGAGCCTTAAAACTTGGCACTGCTCTAAAGATGCTCTCCTCACAAAATCCCTCTCTACATTCCCCACTGGTCACCCCATCCATTTGTCATTATTCAGCATTTCTAAACTAATGACTCTCAAACTCCAGACAGGACTATCTCTAGATCTCCAGCCCCCCCACATCCAAATATCTACATGACATTTCCACTTGAGTGTTTCTTAGGTACCTAAAATTCAATGGGTCAAAAAAATTCATTTTCTCCTGCAAACCTGTCCATCTTCTGCAGTTCCTCATGCAGTGAAGGCACCACCTTCCATCAAGTTACCTACATCAGAAACCTCACCATCCTCTTTCTCCAATATGCCCCAACCAATTCATCAGCAAGCTGTGTCCACTTGGCATCTACCTCCCCAATACCATCACCTCAGTCCAGAGAATCATCAAGTCTTCCACTTGATCAGCTTCTCAACTAATGGCTCTCCCCCACTCTCCACCCCAACCCCCGATTTGTTCTCTGTACAACTACCAGTCTAGGTCAAAATATGACCATGTCAATTCCATACTAAACTCCTTTCCATGATCTCCTTTACCTTTAGGAGACCATGTAAACCTTGCCCATGTCTCCAACCTCATCTCTTTCCCAAGCTCCCACCAGTCAGAGTGTTCCAGCTGTGCAACCTGCAGTTCCCACAACCTGCTGCTCTAGGAGCCTGCCTATGCTGTGGTCTCCTTTGTGAAGTTTCCTCCTCTTCTTCGCCTAGCCAAGTCTCTGCTTAAACTGCACTTGCTCCATGAGGCCTTCCCTCTTCCCTGAAACAACATTCCATCCTCAGCCACAAACTTCCATAGCACCTTGTTTTCTCCTCCATGAACCTGATCATCCTTTACTGCAACTACCTTACTTACTAGATCATAAGTTTCAGAGGCTTTAGTACAGTGCTCAGCACAGAGGACACAATGAAGTCATAAATGCTTAATGACAATGGTGTGTCATGAAGCAAGGATTACAACTAATGCCTTTCTGTGCATAATAAATAAAGAACAAATGACCTTCCTCCTCATGCCAGAAGGACTTCCTTTCTCCTCTTTAGTTCCATCCCTCCATGACACTTACCACTTTCTACACTGTATTAAAGGGATGTATGCACATGTGTCTCCAAGGAGATTACAGCCTCCCTCATGACACCATGCTGGATTGTCTGAGAAAATGAGCTCTTTGTGACAAGTCCAGATGACATAAATCATTCCTCTTCAAAGGAGGCTATTGGCTGCTCCCAAATGGAGTGAAGGGAGGGTGGCATTTTATATTTTAGACCTTCTGACTGGGCTGTTCCTACTTATGACAAGCCCCATTAGACTGTATTACTAGGACCAATATGATTCTTACTCAATTCTGTATCTACAATGCCCCAAACAGCACGATAAACATGCTAAAAACTAAAGGCTTATCTTAAAGACCTCCACATACTTAGCAAGAAGCTAGAACAACAACTCATGGCTACCTGGCAACATCTGAGTCATCCATCAGTACCAACCCAAACGTCACTTTCTTTGATTAGAGTTCCTTCACATGCCGTTGTCATGCCCCACTCCCATCCCCACTCTCTAAAAATTGTCTCCTTGATCCTCTGTTCCCAAAGAGGCTGGTATATACCTCTACAACATGTTATCCTACATTAATATAGTTACCTGTTCCTACATATGACAATCCCATTAGACTGTATTACTAGGATCAATATGATTCTTACTCAATTCTGTATCTACAATGCCCAAAACAGCACTTGATAAACAGGGTACTTCAGTCAGCCTTTCACTGCTATGATTCAGAAGTCCCAAACAAGAACAGCTTAGAGGAGAAATAGTTTATTTTGGCTCATAGTTTCAGTCCACAGTCAGCCAGTTCTATAGCTCTGGGCCCAAGGTAAGGCAGAACATCTTGGAGGAGAGGTGTGGCAGAAAAAAAAAAAAACAGCTCAGAAAAGGGCAATCAGGAAGTAGAAAGAGAGCTCTGCTCACTAGGGACAAAATATAAACCCCAAAGGCACACCCCCAGTGACCTACTTCCTCCAGCCACACCCTGCCTGCCTACAGTTACTACCCAGTTAATCCATCAGTGCAGATTAATCCACTGATTAGGTTACAGCTCTCATAATCTAATTGTTTCACCTCTGAACACTCTTTCATTGTCTCACGCATGAGCTTTGGGGGACACCTCATATCCAAACCATAACATGGGGCCATTAAAAAGTTTTACCATTAAAATGGTAAATCTGGTATATCAAAGCCTAATGGCGGCCAGGCACATCTTAGCAACTCAGGAGGCTGAGGCAAGAGGATCCACAAATTCAAAGCCAGCCTTAGCAATAGTGAGGTGCTAAGTAACTCAGTGAAATCCTGTCTCTAAATAAAATATAAAATAGGGCTGGGCTCAGTGGTTGAGTGTCCCTGAGTTCAATCCCAGTTACCCTCACCCCCCACCCCCACCCCCCAAAAAATGGGGACTGGAGATGTAGCTCAGCAATAAAGTGCTTGCCTAGTACATGTGAAGTCCTGGGTTTCATCTAGCACCACAAGAAGGTGGGGTTGGGGGGCCTAAGGAGCCATGGAGGGTCTTTTGTTTATATTAAAAAATTAACCTGGGCTGGGGTTGAGGCTCAGTGGCAGAGCACTTGCCTTGCAAATGTGAGGCACTGGGTTCATTCCTCAGTATCACATAAAAATAAACAAAATAAAGATATTGTGTCCATGTACAACTAAAAAAAAATTTAAAAAAGAATTAACCTTTCATGATTTTTTTAAGACCATAGCCTTACTGCTGCACACAAGTCTAAACACATTTCTGTCACTGTCTCACCCAAGAACTAACTCACCAGGCATTCACATAGTACCCAGTGTGTACCCTGCACTGCAATGGGAGCTAGAAGAGATCTGCCAGGAGCTAGGACAGACAGTCCCTGCATTCATGAAAGCTGCAGTGTAGTAAGAAACAATGAGTAAGCAACCAAAGAAATTTGTGCTCCTGCATAAAAAGGCAACACAACAGGCAACTGGTAGTCCTATAGGGCCCAAAGCCCTGAGTTTCAAATAATTGGTACTTTCTTTTGGGAAGACTTGCAATTCCCAAGGTTAGTTTCAAACAGAAATTAGAAAGACAAGGTCCACACTCAACCTTTTCCACTCCTTAGACAAATATGGATAGCAGCCTACTGTGGGGAGAGGGAGGTCAACAGCCAACAGTAGGGTGACTCACACAGATAACCAAGAGAAATGGACGAGGCCATTCCTCAGTTCTGGAGCTTCCCAGGAATATTCAGGATATCCCCCCCAGGATCAACAACCTTTAAGAGTATACACTTGCCCAGTGCCAAAGTGTTCCACGTTCACATTCTCACCCATTCTTCCAGGCAAGGAAGTGGAGAGTTTGAGCTGCATTCCACGGAACTGTAACTTCTACTTAGACCAGAAAGAGAGCAAGAGCATAATTCAATAGTGCAGCCAGTTCCATCCACCACATCTGTTCCAGAGTGGGCACATGGTGATGATACCCATGACTATGCTACTCCCAGGGCAAATCTTAATTCTCTGAAGCCTCTGTCCACTGAGAATGAGTCTCCGGAGTATCTTTCATACAGCACAGTCCCTACACAAGCCAACTCTTTTCTTGTAAGGTTCACGCAAGAAAACCCAGCTGTGCTGGTTCAAAGTGCATTGGCTTCTGAAACGGCTCCTTACCAAAGGATTTTCAAGCTGTCATTCAAGGCAAAATGTGATTTTCACCTTCTGTGAAGATTTCAGAATGTAATTCTCTGATACAGTAGGATTCCACTATATCCTCAATAACATACAGGAAAACTCTGTCTCTACAAAAAAGATTCATGTAAGATTACATAACTAGCAAGTAACCAATAGATGTGTCATCTTCTCACAGATCCTGGCACCAGATAGCAGAGCTCGGACCCAGGCCCACATCTGTTCTCTCTTTTCTTAACCACATCACATGGCTGCCTATGTCTGCTAGTCATCCAAATTCCTGAGGATATGGTATGGAGAGAAGACCATGAAGGTAGAAGCAGGTAGACTGGGGTTCTACTTCCATTCCTGCCACTTATCAGCCGTGTCACTTCAAACAAGTCAGGAAGCTCCTGCAGCTGCCCATCCAGGTTGCAGCTTACAGTCTGGTCCTATTCAGTAGTTGTCCCAGGTTTGCTCAATAGTGTGATGCAGGTAGAACAAGACATAGCAGGGAAATCAGAATCAGTGGGTATGAGTTTAACTGGCTGCAGAGACCTGGCAACACAAATGAGTGAATGGGTGAAGGGAACTGGATAGGCCCAGGGGGAATATAGACCCAGGGTGTTCCTACACTTTCCAATTTTTCCAAGAGAAGCTAGAACTCTGGATTTTTAATGTCAAAACTGTTATGATTTAGATATGAGGTGTACCCCAAAAGCTCATGTGTGAGGCAATGCAAGACTGTTCAGAAGTGAAATGATGAGTTGTAACAATCAGTGAATTAATCCATTGATATGGATTAACAGGTGGTAACCAGGTAGGGTGTGGCTGGGCAAAGTAGGTCACTAGGGACATGACTCTGAGGTTTATATTTTGATCCTGGTGACCAGCTAGCTAGCTCATGCACTCTTCACTCACTCTCCCTGCCTTCTCTCCTTCCTGTGCTCCCTCCCTCTCTGCTTCCTGGTTGCCACTCCTGAGCTATTTTCCTCTGCCACACCCTTCCACCCTGGTGTTTTGCCTCACTCAAGCCCAAAGCAATGGAGTCAGGTGACTGTGAACTGAACCCCTCAAACTGTGAGCCAAAATTAACTTTTTCTCCTTTAAATTGTTCTTGTCAGATATTCTGGTCATATAAATGCTGACTTAAACAACAACCAACTCAAAACTGCTTCAAATACCATGAGAATTAAATAAAGTATGATGGCAGACTTCATTCAGAAGGCTGCCACTTTGCCAGCTTTCAACTAGATGATCTGAAAGGTCTCTTCCAATATCCAGGAAGACCTAGAAAGAGCACAGATTCTCCCAAGTGATGAGGGAGAAGTGCTGATGGTCATCAAAACCAGGATCCTTTTACAAACACAAGGGAGCTGAGAAGCACCTTGGCTCCGGAGGCAGAGCCTGGATGTGAACATGAGAAGCCCACACATTGGGGCTGGGGATGTGGCTCAAGCGGTAGCGTGCTCGCCTGGCATGCGTGCGGGCCCAGGTTCGATCCTCAGCACCACATACAAACAAAGATGTTGTATCTGCCGAGAATTGAAAAATAAATATTAAAATTCTCAAAAAAAAAAAAAGAGAAGCCCACACAAGGAATGTTAGGATGGGATCTTCCAACAGAAAGAAACAAAGGGCTCCCAAGGGATGTCATGTCCATTAGACTAATGGCCCAAACTGTGGCATAACGCAGGCTGACCTCACAGTTAGGGATTTAAACCAGGGATGGCAAATAGGTGTCATTTAAAGCACCAATTTTAATCAACTTAACTGGCTGCCTCAAGTAATGTGCCGAGGAATATGAGATCCACAGGAGTATGTGCTGTGACCAGTTAGCCATGACAGGGACACAAGAAGAGGAAGTGATAGCACATAATCCATGTATTTGGCACCCCTAGCTTAAATTTCCACTGCTATTGAATCGGCCTCAGCTTTCAAAAGCCAGACCCAACAGGCAGGAGAAGACTAAATCTCATGTCACTGGAAATCCACTGAAAGTAGCAGTCTTCAAGCCTAGCATAATAAAGCTTACCCCCAATGGCCTCTATTCACACATTCACCAAGTATTTACTGATTTACTTGATTTATATCAAGAGTTCACTGCTCTGAGCAAGCAATGGGGAAATGAAATGACTCAGACATTGTTCCCATCCTGGACATGCTCAGTCTAATGGAAGACCAAAAAAAAAAAAAAAGTCACAGATAATTAAATCAAACGAGGTCAATACAGTGAGAGGGGTTATGGGAGCTGGAGGTTGGAGATGACTTAATCTGCTTAAAGGAACTGAACAAAGTAACAGTTGAGTTGGTTCTTGAAGGAAGAGTGGTTCTCTTGGCAGAGAATTGGGTGGAAGGATATATTCTAAGTAGAGAGAACAGCATACATAATGGTGGAAAATCAAATAGCCTGCCAAGGACACGCAGAAAACCTTGATAAACCTGTAGCAAAGGTTACGCTGCCAAAGGGAGTTTATGAAGGGTCCAGAATATCAGACTGTATGGACTTAATTCAACACGTGATGGTTTTTAAAGCAGGAGAAAGTATAATCAGATTTGCGGGTTAAATACATCACACCAGCTGCAATGTATCTGTCCATTCTGGGGAAGTGAAAAGGTGAAGGCTTCTGCAGATACCCTGACAAGAAAGGGGCAGATTCTAGACATCAAAGAAACTCAAAGATTCGTGGATGTGGAAGAACTCAAGTGGAATGAACCAGCGGGTGAAGCAAGCAGGTAGGTAAGTAGGCAGGCAGGTAGGTAAAGTGGATGATGGTGCCATTCACTCCTATCAGGCCTAAGGAAAGTGCAGGTTTAGTCAGGACACAATAGCCGTCCGTCCCCCGCCCCCCGCCCCGCCCCTGGGTTCTAGAGGGAACCACCAATCGAGGATATCAAATTGCGTGTGTTTGTCCCAGACGGGTAGGTGGAGAAGGAAACTATTTTTACTGTCGGGCTCCCAGCTCTGGCCTCTAATCTTCACTTCTTGCCAGGGCCCCAGAACCCTCTATCGTCCCCTCTGTGCTCTCCAGACCCTCAAGTGACTCTCGCACCTCCCAAACCTCCCTCTGCCGCCTACCCTACAGACCTTTCTAACCCCCGCCTCACTCCCAGGGCCCTCCACGTCCCTCCTCATCTCCGACCCCTCTATGACCCGTCCCATCTCCGGACGCTGCATCTTCTGACCGCCCCTCACCCGCCAACCCCACACCTACGCTTCTATCTCCCCGCTCTCCTTCCCCGGCCCCCTGTAACACCACCACCTCCTAAGCTTCCAGCCCAGTGCCTGAGCCTCAGCTGCCCCCGCCCCGCCACCCGGACTCACCCACCAAGACACCCACTTCACAACAGGGCGGAAGTGCTCCAGAACTCGCGCAAGGGATTCTGGGACGCGGAGTCCGGACCGGGCCACCCCAGAAATGGAGCGTCTAGGACTACAACTCCCAGAAGAAACCGCGCGAGAGCGCCAGTGGCTCCCTCTGATTGCAGCCTTTCGGATGATGTCAGCCAATCGATGTGTCATCTTCTCGCGGATCCTGGCACCGGAACAAATCGGAACAGGGCCCATGCCTGGGGGCGTGGCCTGCTTCAATCCTGACCCTTTCCGTTGGCTCCGAGATAGAAGCACCGCCCAGTAGGCGGGCACTGGTGCAAAGGGGGCGGGGTCTGTTGAAAGAACTGAGCGACCTCTAGACGCGGAGAGATCAATGCAAGAAACAATATGAAATAAGCAAAGGGGTGGCTAGAGATGAATAGACCGTTTGTTGGGCAATAGAGAAACAGTTGTAGGTTCCATTTTCACAGGTATGTCGTGTGGCTTTGGATGAATTCTGAACGTGTAAAATGTAGGACAATAATAACATCCATGTCACAGGATTTATGTGAGGCTTCATGAGACAATACGATTAGCTCAAGGACCAGCGGGCCTAATAATGCACAGTGAATGTTAGCCATTATTATGCAAATCCGTTTGTACAGAGCTTGACACTTCGTGGGTGTCAGAGCAATGTTAATCATTATTACAGAATAATCTTAATATGTAGTTGCTTTGTACCATTGTGAATAGTTCAAGGTAAGAGCAATCTAATATGGAGCTGAGAATATGGGTTTTATAGTCAGACATGGATACAAATCCCAGCCCCAACTACTTCCTAGCGATGTAGTCTTGAACAAATTCTGCATCACTTTTGTCTTCAGTTTTTCCATATATAAAATGCAGGTAATATAACAGAACCTACATCATGGATTGTTGAACAGATTAAAAGAGATGACGTGGGTAAAGAAGGGTCTCTATAGTCCGGCTGCTTTTGTCCAAAACGTATTATTTTCAAATGTAAGGTGCACATCTTGCTATTTTTTTTCTTATTTGTGAAACTTTAGGCAAATTATTTAACCTCTTTATGTCTCAATTTCCTCATCTGGAAAATGGGAATGATAACAATGGTATCTTCTTGATAGAGTTGTCGAGAGTATTAAATAGGAGAAAGGATGTAACAAGTCTGGTACACAAAAAGTTTAATAACCAGTAACCATTATTATTTTGTTAATAGCTATAAGGTGTGGGGTAAATTAACAGTACCTAGCATATGACAGAGGCTTACTGTTAGCTAGTGTTAAAACTAGGGGAAATCCATATCTTAGTTTTAATGACCCAGTTCAAATTCCTTGTCCTCCGTAAACCATGTACCAACTTATTTATAATGATGTCTGTTGTGAATTTACTCAGTAAATGTAATACTAACAGTCCTCATTGCTGAAGTCTCACAACATCCCTGTGTGTTTGATAGAGTTGCCCGCAATTTGGGAGTGGGGTCTTAGAGAAATGAAGTAACCTACTCAAGAATGCATGAGTACTAAGTACCAGGGTTGGAATTTGACCCCCTGTGTATGTGCCTACAAAGACCTCCTCTCTGACATTTCAAGAGGAAGAGACCTCAGACAAAGGGAAGCCTCATGGGATAGACAGAATATGGGGTGCTGGGTGGGCCAGAGACATTTGAGAGAGTGTCAGGATCTGAAGCTGAAAGATGGTTTTTCAGGGTCAAGTAAAGTCATCTTCTGCACCTGCCTTGAAGCGAAAGAATGGAAGTGAGTATGCAGAAAGTGAAATACACCGTTAGGACACAAGAGGGCGCCCCTTGCCCTAAATCCAGTAATTGTTCTATAGCTTCCCTTAGCTTTTAGGTAATAAAAGCCAGGCATTTTACAAAAAAAAGTAAAGTTCCCAGTTTCCACAGCTTAGTCCCTAAGAAAGTCCCTAAGAGTCCAAGTGCCTTGCCCAGTGTCATACAGAAATATGCAACAGAACCTGAATAAGACTTGGGTTCTCTCTAGTTCAGCATCCATCAGAGTTTGGTTTATAAGCATTCTGTATACTGTTGTCTATCAGAATCCTTTCTCAGCTGGGCCAGCAGTAGGCTCCAAGAGTACAGAGATGACTCAAACAAACCTGGTCCCTGCCTCCAGGATCTGATCTCCAAACTTTCCCAATCAAGCTCTCCTATGAGTTTAGTAGAACATTAGGGAACACATATTTCCAAGGTATGTATATTTACTTATAAATGATATACATGTAATAATATCTTCTATAGAATATTTGTAATGCATGATTAGGTTCTGGTCTCAGTGTTTCAGACATATTAACTCATTTAATTCTCACAAAATCCTCTGATAGAGGGTAAAATGCTATTCCATAATACAGAATTTGAAACTGTGGTACAGA